ACTGCATTCTCAACATTTACTGATATCATGATTAACAACCAGGCAAAAGACTGCATTCTCAACATTTACTGATATCATGATTAAAAACCAGGCAAAAGACTGCATTCACAACATTTACCGATACCATGATCAACAACCAGGCAAAAGACTGAATTCTCAACATTTACTAACATCATGATTAACAACTGAGCAAAATATTGCAATATCAATATTTACCAATAACACTATTCTGCTAAAAAGAAATTTCTAATTAGTGTTGAATAATTTTGGATTGTGGTTTGAATAATAAAGGCAAAGTTCTCTGAAACAGTGAGAAGAAATTTCTTTTAAGAGACAAAATGATCTAGTTAGAAATAAGGAGTGGTATACCCTATTATACAGTTTTAAAATTTTCATCAAGAAGTGATATCTATGAAGTTTCATGCATATCACAATTTCCAATATAAATCTTGACAAAAAAAATGTATTGAAGACTCAAGTTTATAGTATTCAAAATCCAATGGATTACATTGTTCTAACATCCATCTGAAAACCAATGTTCCACCCAATCTAGGTTTTTAATTTTTCAATACAATTTAAAACTTCACTGGCTATCTCATTAAGTCAACTACCCACCCGATTTTTTTATTTTCTAACAAGTTAAAGTGTAACAACAGTTTTCATAAATTGTTTTGAAATATTCTTCATCTAATATTTATGTTGTTAACTCAGCTTTTCAGATAACAATATGTTTCCATTAACATCAGAAGTACTTGCTATGAACTGTTTTTGTTTGTTTTTTATCTCATATGAAGCTAAAACACATGACAACAAATTACAAATTCAGAAGTGGAATGTTGAATTTTGCCAATCAAAACCTACCTGTAGAACTTTTCCAATAATGTATCGATCACAATAAGCACAAGCAACCCCAAACAATTTTTGGTAGTCTTTTTCACAATAAGGTAGTCCATCTCTGTAAACAAAAAATGAACCATTTACCTGTAATATTATGTAAAAGATAAAAAATAGAATATTCAGTTCAAAAAGTTAGGAATTAAAAGAAAATTCAACCTGATACATTAAACAAATAAAGAAAACTCACATGGTGCAATTGATAATTTATTCATTAAGAAAATTTATTACATGTATTTTTGGAGAAGCTACCACATTCACTCTTCCTGATATGCAGATAAGATCTCCAACAATACAAAACCAAGCATCAGTATCACTGCATCACAGACATTTTTTCAAACATATGTAGCTGATTACCAGGATTCAAAGTATGAATTATATTGTAGAAAATACCATTGAACCTACATGATTATCAGGAAAAAGATTACAAAACTGAAACATAATTCAACATTGAAAACTATGCATCTTTAAAATAATTGTATATGTATGTGTTGGAAAACTAACTCTGAATTAGTTGTTCTCAAATGAATTTGAGTGTTTAAAACATAGACTAAAGAGAGCAAGCAGAACATCAGATTAATAGCACAATTATGTAATATATTATAATACTACAATTGATACTCATTGATTTACTTTATTTAACCACAGTTTAAAAGTCTTGCTTAGCCATTAAATTTAAGATTTTAAAAAGTTTTCTTAAGTATAGAAAATTAAGTGAACACAGGTCGAACAGTGTTCCAGTTCAAGACTAATTGTCCAAATCTAAATTACAAATACACTAAACCTTTATATATATTGACTAGTTTTAAGTTGTTGTAAGGAAGATCTTTAGATAACACTCAGTGCCTGAAGTGTGGAAAAAGAGTTAGCAGGATGGTTTGTGAAATTTTTGAAGCTGAGTACTATATTTCTTGTTTTTCATGTGTATTCTTTATGTATTACATGTATAAAACCCATCAAAAATTATGAGAAACCAAACCCTACCAAATTTGAACCCTCCAATGTACTTTTGCAGCTTTGCCGCCCATAAAAACATAAAGGGTCTTCTAGCTTTGGGAAACCAAAGCCTATTATGAGCAATATCTCCTTTACCTAAAGAGTAAAAACATGCAGTGTACTGGTACCTTTGAATAAAAGATTAAAACATACGAGGACCATGCGATTGCATAAACATCTGTTCTTCTTCTGAGGAAAAGTAGTCCTCTTCCCTACAAGGTAATTGGTATTGTCAGTCAGTTTTAACAAAAGCTTTTTTGTAATAATTCCCAAGCATAGATTTGTGCTAATTTTTCACAGGAGTCTTCCCAGCTTTATATTTGTATCCTACCTAGCTTCACATCAAAATGATATGGTATCACCCACACATAACACCATGCCTAATCTGGTCCTGGGAACTCCCTCCTTGACAAGCTTTTCTATACCAGAAAAAGGGTTGAAATTTAGAAATATTTATGCTTAAGTTAGCAATTAAGTTCAACTAAAATGGGAACGGGCAAACAAAGAAAGAAGTATTATAGGAGAAAAAAGTAGAACTGAGCTCGTGTTACTCGCAAAATTTGGAGAAATCAAGCGTGACCAACTGACATTTGGCTTTTATATATATATTGATTACTAAAGTAATTAAAATGTAAAAATTAGAAACTTATTAAGTTAGATTAGGTAAAATAATGAATGTAAAATAATAATAAACATTTTTCACGAGATATACACAGCGTGGTCACAAGTAAATAGACACCACCTTTTCAGAAAAAATGAAATTTTTCAGTCATATTCACATGAATTGATATATTTATAATTTAATTAATATCTAGTAGATCTTCCTTTCGCTTCGTGGAGTTCGTTGATCCTTTGGCAGTGGAAGGATATGGGTCTGGAGAATGCCTCACCAAGAGTTTTGGCTCAACAGATTGCAGCCAACTGTGAAGCATGGTAGTTTCAGCTGATGGTTTGGGGAGCTGTTTGGGTTGGTGGGAGATCAAGCTTAGTGGAGTGCGTTGGCAACATAAATTTTGCGAAATACATCTTTATTCCTCGGGTTTCGTGGACAAGAACACAACGTTGTTCCAGGAAGATGGAGCACTGTGTCACACTGCTAGAAACATCCAAAAGTGGTAGGAAGAAATTGGTATCCAGAAGTTGCCCTGCCCGAGCCAATCTCCTGACATGAACCCCATCGAAACCCCATACTCGACCGGCAAGTCAAGAAACAACCAAAAAAAAACAACTTCGAAGAGTGATCTACTCCAAGTTTTGAAGCAAGAGTGGGCGAAAATCCCACGATCTAAATTTGACGAGATGATTCTCACGATGCTTCCGAAAATTGAGCGAATCTTGATTCGTCTGAGAACAATACGGTCTTCCAAAAGTCCATAGGCTTGGTCATCATATCACTTGCCCACTTCTTTCGTCTGACTATGTTGGCAGATCTTAATAAGGGCTTCCGTCTAGCAACGATAACCCAATCTGTGGAGAATCCGTTGAACAGATTTCGGGCTCATCCCACCAACTTTGGCCACTTCTGCAGTCGTTAATCTGGGATCCATTTCGATGCTCCTCTTCACAGCCCTTTTTGTCCTCTCTGATGGACTAGGACGACCCGGACGCTGCTCAGTTGTTTCCTGAACTGCACGATGATTCTGTTGACTGTCGAAAGCGGGATTCCCAAATTCTGCGAAATTGGCCGCTGACTTATTCCACCATCTGCTTGACCAACAATCCTTCCTCTAACAAAATCTGACAATTCAAGAGAACCTTGAGTTCTAGGCATGTTGTAGCACGAGATAATTAGTGTGCGAACCATTTTCATTTATATAGTGCTCTGTGAACACAAATTAGTTAACATAAATCAGTCAAATGGCGAAAAATTAGGTGTCTATTTACTTGTGATCACTCAGTGTATATCTATTTTTTTAGGTTGCGATATTATTTTTCTACATTGCAACTCATTCTAAATTTACAAACAGCGAAATTAATTTAAAAAAATCAAATTTACTGTTTTCTTCTATTCAGAGTATTTTCACCATCGTAAAATCTGAGATTTTTCTAAGTAAAAAAGAACACAGTAATGTTTAGGTGTAGACGAAGGTTTCAACCTTCTCAATCATTGTGGAGCCGGTAGTGACCTTGTGGGTCTGGGGTTCAAAACATGATGCCACTGAACACGCTGCGCAAGTCCCGCTGTAGGCACATTGCAAAAGTGGCAGACAATCCCATTATTCGGTTCAGAAAACCCGAAAAAAGCTCTTGTGGCGGTCGATGCTTTTGGCTGGCTGCTTTCCCTCTGAGCAGTTGTTGTCGGTACACACTGCACAAACCTTAGACAGTGAGTGACCCTGGTAAGTGTGACATAAGGCGTCAGTGGTACATAGTACACAAACTTTAGATAGTGAGTAACATTGGTAAGTGTAACGTGGCGTGAGTCACGTTTCATTGACTTTGGTATTTGACGGTATAATAAAAAACAAAAAAACCATATGCAGAACCTGGTTCTACCTTTATTGTGCTGGTGGTGGTGTAATGGTTTTAGAAACGTTCTAGTGGCAATAATTAGGTTCTATGATACATTTAGAAAGGCGAGTGACATACGAAATGTATCTGAACATTGATTCAGATCTTGCCCATCTACAGTACTGCATTTCAATCCTGATGAACAAGGGCATTTCCATAACGATAATGCACCAATCCATCATGCTCCATCATTATCCGATGTCTGTGGACTAATTGTACCACATACTCCTCGAAGAATGGACCAAAATCAACAAAACACATGCTGGAGTCTTGTAAAATTCACGTCATGCAGAGTTAAAGTGTTATATTGGTGACAGATGATCTAACTCTATTAGGTGGGTGTTCTAATAACATGGTCAGTCAGTGTATGTTCCATTGCCGTGTAATATAAGTTATATTTCTATTTTTTATAGTTTGTCACATGGACCAAGATTAACTTGCTTTTGGTTTTAACCGTGCTCGGAGTGTTCCTGGGTATCCTGATTGGCTTCTTAGCAAGATTTGCAGAATATGGAAAAGATGCCATCATGTTGGTTTCTTTTCCTGGTGATATACTGATGAGGATGTTAAAGATGTTAATTTTACCGTTGATCATTTCATCCATGATAGCGGGTAGGTATACATTTAATAGGTACACAGTAAGAGTTAGATTAAAATTGTATTTGTGTATTGTTTGTTTCTAATGTTATGAGCAGATTTAAAGCTGCAAGCTGTTATTAAGGTGAAAGCTTTATACACGATGCTTGCTAAGTTGGTAGAATAATTGGAATCGAAAGTGCCTTTGAAATTGTAATTTTAGTAATTTCATTTGTTTAACTATTTCTAACAACTTGTGACATTCTAAGGTACACGGATTACATCAAAGGTAAGAACAGTAATTTCAATAACAAAAAAAAGTAGAAAATGTTTTTATGTTTTGTTCAGTATCTTTTTTTCAACTGAGTTATAGTCAGAAATTTAGATTTAGTTCTGCATAATAAGAAAACAAAACCAGTTTATTCATTCTGTAAGACAAACAAATAAAACTCATGAGACGAAAGACGTATATTCGAAGCAAATGATATACGCACCTCTCTCTCTAGGTCTGGAGAGAGAGAGAGATGTTTGCGAGGATAAATTTTGGATCAGACTCAGAGAATTAACTACTGAATAGAGAACAATAACGTAATATTAATGCAGGGGCTACCCACATTACCTCTATTCGTTCCACAAGTAAAAATAGGAAGGACATATCGTTCAGGTGCTGTCAAATCTCTATATTGTTGAATTAAGTCCAGTACTACATGATATTAATATGTGACAGTAGGTAATTAGAAGACCAGCAAGTTAACCACATACATTAACCAGTTCTCTATTGTTAAAACATGTAACAACGTATGTGTGAAAATAATTTCAAAATTTCAGGTGAGCATAAATTTATGTTCATCTGTTTATATTAACAAGGTAGTACAAGGTATGTTTCCCATTGTATACGTAACAAGAATAACTGATCTATTGGTTAGAGATTGTATATATTGTACGCTAAACGTCTAATAGGAAATCACTTCTGACCTAAAAACACAAACTTTCACAGTGATTGCATACCTGAGAAAAGTCGCATTATTTCAAGCGGTTTACGAAATTAACGACAATGTATTAAACTATTAAGTTTATTACGTAAGGAAGCTAATGTAACGCATTCTTTGTATATATACCCAAGTCACAATGAAAGATAGTTTAAGGATGTATGTTTTTACAATTATACCTAATTTCCCCGAGAGGGACCCGAAGGCCGCCTGGAGGGGGGTCACCTGTTTTAACCACTCATACCACTATACAGTAGTGTGTTGTCTGTCAGTCAGTCAGTAGACACTAAAATGACGTCACATAAGGGACACTTAAAGTTGCAATTTGTACTGTAGTGACGTCAGTAAAACGTACGCATGCCATGAATTACGAGAATAATTATGCACTCTCTAGGCTACAACACAGCATGACATATGAACTTCAAAAGCAAGAAATAAAACTATTTATTACTCTTATTTTGGTTTCATTTACACTTCAAACAGAACACTTTCAGGGACCCTGCAGAAGTACACCTAGTTAACACTTCTGTTTCCTTCACATTTCTTTACCTAAAGATAAAATCTAAACCATGGTATCAGAAATCCACAGTTTTAAGCAATCTTATTTTTCATCATCTCATGTAAGTCTGATAGTAAATAACATCCAATGAAGCTTTCTGTTTGAAGTTATTGACTGGTCGTAATTTGAGTTCTGCAAGCAAACGTTTAATGTATGAAACTAGGAAACCATCTTACATAAAGAATCATTGGATAATACAAGAAATTGTATTCAGTTAAGCTGACTAAAAAGAACGATATTCAGCCGGTCAATAATAACAATGTTTACCAAATGAGAATCAAAATAACGATTATGCAGTCTATTTTTAGAGAGTACTGAAAAATATCAAATTCTCCAATTTACAGCTTCAAAATTGACAAGACTTGATAGTTGTTGAATGTCACGACACCTAAGAGCAACCAAATGTCATTACTGCGTATATTTTTTTTTTTACTTGAAGTCTACATCAGTTTATAATTCAAAAGAACAGTTAATTACGTAATCAAATTAAAATATCTCTTTAGATCCTGTAGTCGTAAACCCTTTTGCTTATTTGATGATACACTGAATATGTTTACAGTTTTACGTGAAACTGATCATCCTTTCACATGTTGTATAATATTAATTACTGTTTTGTTTCGTCTTATTAGTTTGACTTAAAAATCAAGGTTTAAGATAATGCAAAAATGTTCACCCAAAATCACGAGGGCACATGGAATTGAAGACTGTTTTTTTTCATGCAACGCCCATTATGAAAGCTTTATCATGCACGGGCACCATCGAATAATGTAATAAAGCACCGGTAAAATCGCCCTTAGACACCACCCTCTCAGCCAGAATCGTACACCTATACGCACTGGAAACCTTTTCTTTCGGTAGTTGAAAGCTGCCCCCAGTGGCACAGTGGTATGTCTGCGTACTTGTACTGCTAGAAACCGGGTTTTGATACCCGTGGTGGGCAGAGCACAGATAGCCCTTTGTGTAGCTTTGTGCTTAATAACAAACAACAACAACAGTTGAAAGCTATTGCTGTTCTTGACGCGCGTTTCTTCCAGCAAGATGAAGTATCATCCCTGACGCTGCTAACCCTTAAGTCTATGATTTAAACCACATCTTCAATTACACATGCCGATCTCAAAGTTAGTATCAGAGAAACTAGTGCATTTCCAGAACACATGCTTGCTAATGGGTCTAAAAATGTAGAAATTTATTGAGACCAACAGAGCGTTGGATGATAATGGAATTTTCACTTATCGATTAACGATGCTCTTGATTATTGAGTTAAATAAATAGTTTTTTTTTGGAATTTATAAATATTTAAAGCTATATACTTGGGCATCGTGACAACTTCTTATATAAGTCATTGAATTTAAAAGAAAACTTAAGTTTTCAAAGACAAGCACTCTTAATAAAAGATTTGAAGATTAATTTGAAAATCTAAGACATGTCTTATTACCCCCCACTTCCCAAATATAGTGGCATAAACTTAGTGCACTACCACTGCCACACATCTGATCATTTATCTTCTATTATATTTATTACACTCTTATAAAAATATTACCGCTTCAGCTTTTAAGAAAGAAAAACTTAGATTATCAAACAACAAAGTTCAACATAGAAAGACAGTTTTACAAAACAGACGTGGCAAAAATTGTTCAATAATTAAAGACTTCAATCTATGAAGGTTGTCCGAAAGTGGCCCGACCTAAAACTAGAATATATTAATTTATTTCTGGTAAAGATTAAGCTTGAACTTTTTTATGAACGAAGTGACCAGTGTTAAACATCACAGAGAAGATCGAATTTCGTGCTGTAATCAAATATTTTGTTAAACAAAACTTCACATCGCAAGAAATCCATCAGCACATGGTAGCAACATTTGAAGAGTGTTCTTCATCATATTCAACAGTTAAAAAGTGGTGTTCTGAGTTTAAATGCGGTAGACAATCATGTGATGATGATCCGAGATCAGGTCGGCCCTCGACATCGACCATAACTGAAAATGTAGATAAACTCCATGATTTTATTATATATGAAGAATAATTACCATTAGGAAGTTAGCAAAGGAAGAGGAAATCGGTAAAAATACTGAAGCAAGCATTTTGAGTGACAGTTTCGTCATGAGCAAGTTAATGTCAGATGGGTTCCAAAAATGTTGTCATCTGAGCAGAAACAGATCCCATTTGTTGAAAGCCAACGTCTATTCCAAAGGTTTCAGTAAATCCGTAACAAAGGATAAAACGTGAGTTCACCACTTCAATCCAGAGACAAAAATGTAAAGTTTGTTATGGAAACACCCAAGTTCACTTAACCAAAAGAAGTTGAAGTCAAAATCCTCTTCTATATCGGTCAAGACATCAATTGTGGGGAATGCCAAGGGCTTTTTACTAGTTAATTATTTGAAAATGTGTCAAACCATTACAGGAGATTATTATGCATCCTTAATCAACAATAAAAGAAAAAGAGAAGAGGAATGCTGAAAAAAGGTGTGCTCTTCCATCAGGACAAAGACCGAGCTCACAAATCCCGTGTTGTTTTGAATGCTATCCATGATTTTGGCTTCGAATTACTCATTAACCCCCCTTTCCTACTCACTGGATTTAGCTCCAAGTGATGATGACCTCATACATACCGTCCAGTCATGGATTGAGGACCAAGAAGAAGAGTTATTTCAGAAGGACATAAAGTCATTAGAGCACCGCTGGTGCAAGTGTATAGACACAGGAGGAGACTATGTTGAAAAATAAATTAACGTTGAACCAGCGTCTCTCTTTTCTTTATAGATTGAGTCACGAATTTTCGGACACTCCTAGTAAAACATAGCACTCGCTAAAAATTTTTAATACTCGATGTTATTCTTCTAAATTTGAATTCCAAGTTGGGTCATTGCAGACACATTGAAAGTTAGAACTTACTAGACATTGATTAGACACAACTGTTCTTACATTAACTTTTCACTTGTAACTAATGTTTATATTAACACCTGCAATAGAACAAATTGCTACAATAAATGTATATTTCTAATATCTTGTGTTTTATGTAAAAATAAAACGTTTTGTAATATATATCTTGTTGTTGCTAACTTCGTTGCAAAAGAGAAATAAAAAAAAGTTTATGTGGTAGATATTGAAATTCCAAAATAATGGCTATTCTATAAAAAAAGAAGTGTTCCAAAATGCTTTATGGTTCATACAAATTCTAAACTGTTATTCAAAAGTTTCAACCAGCAATGTCAATGGCTACTCTTTCCGTTGGTGCGCCAACTTGATATAACTTCATTGGAGCACGTCCCTTATGCTTGGGTCCCCTTTTAGCACAACATGTACTGCAGGTCCTGCACCATTCTTCCACATCTTGCCTCATACCTATCCAGTAAAATCTCTACCGTAGGTGACTCAATGTCTTCTTAACTCCAAGATGTCCTCCTGTTAAACTATCATGGGATTGATGCAGCACAACTTCCCGTAACTTTCTCGGTATAACTGTTTGCCAGATCGTCACTTTCCCAT